ACCGTCGTCGCAACGCACGTCCCAAAAGTGCGTACGTTGTGGAGTCGTTCGACCTTACCGCCCTTTACAATAACGTGTCGAACGACTCCACAATGCAGGCCATCCGAGAGCTTCTTGAGCAACACGAAGGGGCAATTAACATGTATGGCTTTTCGATTTAGCAGCTTATGGTCCTCCTAAAGGTCTCTTTAAACTGCTCGATTTCAGATGGTCCGGGAAATACTACGCACAAATTAGAGGGTTGGCAATGGAACAGCGACTGGCACCAACCCTTCCCGTTGCCTTTATGTCTAAAGTGGAAGCACCAGTAATCGATCTCAGGCGGTTACTCTGCTGTAGGTATATGGATGATTGTTTTGTCATCTGCTTCACACAAGAGGAGATGGACAAATGTTTTGAGTTATTGAACGAACAGTCAGAGTACATAAAATTTACCCGTAAGAAACCAAAAGAAAACTGGCTTCCATTCCTAAACGTTCAAATCAACCTATCCGAAAACGGCTACAACACAAAATGGTATCGAAAGCCAAGCAGTAAGAATATAGTAGTTCATTACCTCTCCTCTCATCCGTCACACACTAAAAGGGCGCTTATAAGAATAAGAAATATGTTTCGAACCGCCACCAGCGTGTGCACAGGTAGAGATCAGAGGGAAGAATCCTCGAAACTGGCGCGTCAAATAGCCATTTCAAATGGTTACGAGACTGTAGCTTCTCGGCATAGACATAGAGGGAAACCCACGCCCCAGAGTGATACTTCTGGCGAAAACAAGGCTCCGTTCCTCTTGCGCTTTATTTCAAACGAAACAAGTGGAGCTATAAAACGTTGCTCAATAAGGGCCGATCTAAAGAATTCCGTAAGAATGATAATAACGAAAAGCTGCATAATTTGCCCTAACGGTAGAGACGGTGATTGCATGAGTTTGGGTACAGTCTATCTGATCTCTAGTAAAGCGTGCGAGGACGAACACGTTGGCGAAACGGGTAGACCGCTCTGGGTGCGCGTAAAAGAACACCTAGTCGGTAAATCTAAATTAACACAAAACACTCCACTAGGCGCGCATAGGATGTAGCAACACAACGGAGAAGATTTTGAAGTAGGACTCACTATCCTCACGCAGGAATCAAAAACATCAGCGCGTGAAACTTGAAGTGTTTTGGATCAATTCCAAAAATTCAAAAATGAACCGAAAGGAGGAGTGTCTTGTAATCACGTGACCTGGCGCCATACCTCAGCCTAACCCAATAACCTAACACAGACACAGTTATCGCCCATGTACTCTATGCGGCTGCTCTCCACCAACTAACTGACGTACTTACAACAAGTAAACGGCTGGTGTTTAAATGAAGCTGTTTCTTATGCGAATACAAATTTATTTGTTTAGTTTTTTTTTATCTGCTAAGGTCATGAAAGTGTTTGGCTGAGTAGACCGCATCTCAATCCGATCTTTCCAGGCTCTGAAGAAGGCGAAACCGTCGAAACGTCCGCTATTGTATCTTAATGAATCCTATAACAGCCTCGTGTCTTCTTATTGAAGAAAAACATTGAATTATCAATCATTGCCGAGGTTGAAAGAAAGTCGGTCGTGGGAATTACAAGAAGAAGGTCTAGCCGAAAAGATACCTTCTATTCCTAGTGATGTGAACAGTCTTTCTCATACTCATACAGTTAGGTGAGTATCATGTGCAGCGGCAATGGTTAAACGATGTGGTAGAATTCGTATGAATCAACATGATGTGTAAGAAGAATGTACTAGAAAGCCAACCTCTTAACATTTTAGGATAACAAGAGTTTCCTCATTAAATTGACTTCAGATGGTTTTCTTGCTCCTAACTTCTGCAAGACCATGAAGTAAAACTTAATGTGGTTTATGACCTTCAAAAGAGCAAGAACCCCCCAACGGTTTACCGCCTCATCATGGCTGGGAGGTGTTCATGGGTATCGAACTGCGATGTACAGCAGGGGGATTCGTGCTCCCGGCAGGGTCTCCCAAGCTGAGAAGAAGTCCTGCGTTTCCATCAGGAAACTTAGCTAGGAGTAAACCAATACCAGGATCCACCACCGTCCTGGGTATCAAAATCGCATGGTGACGAATCTCCCTCTGATCCAACACGGCTGCGACTGTCTAACGTGGTGACGACCTGGGGCAGACTTTGTCCGGGGTGTCCTCGGGATTCCAGAGAACCACATTGGCTTAACCAGCAAATCTCCAAAAAATGGTGATTATCTGGTGCCCGCACAACTAGTGAGAACGGGCCGTTCAAGTATCAAGTAGGAAAAAAAAGTTAGGAGAAACGCACGTTTGAAATTTAAAGCCATCATTATTTCTGCACCACTTAGGCACCAAACTCCAATGTGTAAAATAAAAAAGGAGCTAAAGAACTTAACTAGTCACACCATATCTGCATATATTTGTGGACTGCAACCTCGCTAATGAGAACCCAAGAGCGGTACTTCCACTATTTTCAACGAATATTTGTTATAGTATTTCGTCGAAGACAATGAGGCCTCAAACTTTGGGTAAAAAGGATAACGCTACAGCCGTTCAAATCTTCTCATATTAACACACTATGTTTCAAATTCATAAAATTCCAAAAATAATCGTATCTAAAGTGTGGCCTTTCGCACTGCGATACGAGATTCGGAATTTCGCATGCATATACAGAGGAAACTAGATTCATTGATGGAACATACATTTAGTTGAATAGAAGGAACGACGACTATCATAAACTCCATGCCTTGGACACCGCTAAACGCATATGAGTATTGCTACAGCCGTTCTCACAAAGATTTCCAACGGCTCACCGCCTCATTGTGATTGGGAGGTGTTCCTGAGTGTTGGGCAGCGATGTACAGCGGGGGATTCATCCCCTGGCAGGGCTTCCCGAGCTGAGAAGAAGTCCGCTGTTTCCATCGGGAAGCCAAGATAAGTAAACCAATACCAGGATTCACCACCGTCGTGATAGCAAACTAGTCCCATGGTGGCAAATCTTCCTATGGTCCAGAAGGGCGGAAAGTGCGTGGTGGTGACAACCTGGCAGAGACCTTGGCTAGACTGACCTCGGGACTTCAGGGGATCACAATGGCTAGGCCAACAAAACTCTCATAAGCGAAAATTTTCCTGGGACCAGCACAACTAGGAAGAGCGGGTCATCCATGCATCCAAGTAAGTAAATAAGTTCTCACAAGCAACAAGTTCATAACGAAAAGTAGACCATCATACGACACGAGAGCAATACATGTCAAACATGAATCGTGTAAACAACACCGTACACCAAAAAAAAGTTGAACAGTTACCTTGGAAACCGAAGAAAACTGAGTAGGGAGTGATGGGTGATTGCCTATGGCATTGGTCGATAGAAAACTACTTGAGAGACAGCTGATACAAAGGACTCGCATGGTGTGGTGGTGAACGCGTTAACCCCCGCAAAGGACAATAGCGCGTTCGTTCCCACCGCAGACACCTGCGGTCCGGAATTTTGCAAATATCTCAGCATCATCTTAGTTGTATTTTACATGATACCCTGCCGTTAAAAAATAGAGTAGGCAGCAAATAGAAAGGTTAAGAAAGAGAAAATAGTTTAAAACGAAATGGAGATAATATCATTTGTATTCAGACCCCATCATAACAGGCATTTTTGGTAAAGAAAAACTGCGAAGGAATGGACTGAAATTTATTTCAGGACTCTTTAATTTGTTGAATTCGCGAATTTAATCACCTCACAATGGTTTACCGCCTCATAATGGCTGGGAGGTGTTGTTGTCGGAGTGCTATGTACAGCGCGGTGATTCATCCCCCTAGCAGGGTATCCCAAGCTGAGAAGGAGTCCGGCGTTTACATCATTTACATCAGTGAGCCCAGCTAAGAGTAAACCAATACCAGGATTCAAAGCCGTGCTAGTACCGAACTAGTCGAATGGTGGCTAATCTTCCTCGGTTATGAGCTGGGGCAGGCTTTGGCCTGGCTGACCTTTAGACTCCAGGGAACCGCAATGGCTACACCAGCAAAACTCCGATAAAATGGAGATTGTGCTCGGACCGACAGAACCAGTGAAGACGGGTCATCCAAGTATCCAAGTCAGTAAGAATTAAGTTAAGTCCTGCATATGGGAATGTGTAACCATTACATATTGGAAAATTATTGGATATCTTACACCTATCAAAAGAGGAAATAACCACTACAGAACATAAATTTGAATAAATGGTGAACGATTCGGACCACAAAAGCGTTCTCCCAAACCTAGTGAGAAATGGCAAAACTCCATACAACCCACTTTTACTGAGAAAGAAGACGGCACATTCGTACAACCAGCTTAACCTAATGAACAACGATACAACACATAGGAGATTTTAAAAAGATGATAAGACGAAAAATATAAAACATACGGAGGCGAACGAGTTTCTAAGCACGGATGAATTGAGAAAGTCGGAAAGCTTGTCTGTCTTGGGGCCACTGCTGTTGCGAGAGCAGGAATGGGGGATGGAAGTGACAAGTCCAACGTGGTAAAGAGGGAGCACGGCTTGAATGGGATTTCTAGTCGGCGATGCCCGTTTATAAAAGACGGATCTCGCGCGATTGCGCGATTTTCACCATCCGTGTGATCTCCAATTGAGTTGGCAACACTCGGCCGCGGCGAACTATGTACCATCGACCACATTTGATCCCAACTGCAATATCACGCCTTCCTCGTTTTCTTACTGCACTGGCTTATATTAAAAAAACTGTCACCCCATAGCACTTAGTAGTGGTCACCTTGTATATTCCTGTGCGAACGGTTAGAACTTGGACTTCGTAATATCTGCTTATAACCATTACCTGTTCTTTTATGTTTTTCACTCTACCTTTGATCTTTCACTGATATCGCACCACTTATCATGTTCTCACACACCTGGTCCATTCACGTTGTTCAGTGGCAAACACCTTTGGTTTCATAAAACAGCTAAAGGTGTTAAACATTTTGTTTGATTCATTCACAAAATAAGAAACGTGTCTGCAAAGAATGTCTACTCGTAGCGATTTCGTGAAGCATTGTACTCCTCTGGATAATGCAACGGCTGGCCTTGTTGACATAGTGAAACTTGCGCTTCTTGAAATCGTTGACGGTCGGTTAAATGAGATTCTGGAAGAGGAAATCACTCGATGTAGTTCGGTAATAAATGAGATTCTCTTCCTTCTCTCGACTCAGGCGAAAAAACACTCTGAAAACGTTACAGGTCAATGATCCCGAGATATTTTCAAAACTCGGACCTCGGGCAAGAGTCGAACCGGAAGTTATCCTTTCCGGAGATTCATGTGTTAACCACTGCACAACTGAGGCCCTCGATTTGCATTCCTTTGCCTTCGTTTGAATTTTGCATTTGGAATTTCTTTTCTTTTGTAGTAAACTTTCATATGCTAACCGGTTAAACGCATTCTAGGGGAACTCTGCTTGAATGTTTACCACATCTTCATTATCGTTCAAATAAGTAGTGAGGCGATGAAGAGCTCTTCTGAAAGCCCCTTGATAAGCGGACATCGTAAACTTCATCACATCATGCAAGCAAATATATCTCTTTTCAATAGTGACCTCACCAGTGTGTTCATCGAATTAGACGTCCTTGAAAAAGTGAAATTGTTGCAAATCATACATCGTAAAATTTCTTCCGCTTTCCTCATCGGTAAAATCGTGATCCGAGTATATTCTTGTGCAAAATTTTTCCAGAAACTTTGTCATCGTAACCAAGGTACTGGGGTGTACAAGTCGCTTATCGAGCTTCTACGTCATGCGAGTCCTTCGTTTCGCTTTTCTCTCAGCCGTCTCGTTGACCTATGTGCTATCAGCAGTCACTCGCCAACGGGATTGATCTAGGGTGCGCAAATCGGCATTGAACCCAGTTAAGTGAGGCTGTGATATGAATCACAATCTCGTCACTTTTCAATTTACTGTCTACTCTTTTTTAATGCCAGGGTATTATGTGAAATATAACCGTAATAGTGCTGAGCCACGAATCTCTCTCATATGAGGGATCTCGAGCCGGCTAGTCGCGAGGCTACGTGGCGAGTCCCCAGGTGGCGGACAGGTGTTAATCATGAACCAAAAGTGACCTTCGCTTCCCTGAGACGCAGATGGATCCAGGGGATGGACTCCCTGTTTCCGCTGCGCTGATTTGGTACATACTTTCTCTATTTGCTAGGCGTTTTCATGCATGCGTGTGTGGTTGCGTTCTTGCTTATGCGGATTGTATTCTATGAGTCAATCCGGCCAAAAGCCTGCAATCAAGTGACAGGAAAGTATATGAGAGGCGGTTAGGAGTCGCCTCCAACAGATAAGATCCATGTCCACACCGGGAGAGCTTGGCAAGCCACCCGTGAGCATACCTAGCCCCACGTTCAGAGCCCAGCAAGCCATACATGGGTATCAGGAAAAGCTAAAAACGGTAAAAGAAACGGCCTCATTCCCCTGACGCCGAAGGAGCCCCCAATTCGGCAGCGTTGGGTAGGACAAGTACAGAGAGGCTGCTAAAATCCCAGGGCCAATGGAAGCTGCCTAGATCACGAAGAGCTAAGGCGACGATCTGTACTTACAATGCACGTACACTTGCATCCGAGTCCTCGATAGAAGACTTGCTCATGGAAGCAAGAAGGATAAAGTACGACGTTATCGGCCAGGCCGAGACGAGAAGACGCTAGCCTTTCAACGCCGTCTATGACACCGGAGAAGAACTGTTCCTCGGAACATGCGGAAGTAGAGGAGTCGGCGGCGCCGGCGTTCTCGTCAGCACGAGTTTATCCATGAACATCGATTCATTCGAACAACTAACAAGCCGAATCGGACGTTTACGATTAAAGAGATGTGGATCAATACCGGCTTTGACAATCTTCGTCGTTTACGCTCCTGCATCAAACTACGACGAAGAAGAAACCGAAGCGTTCTATATGGACTTGGAGAAGTTCTACAGAGAAGACCATACATTCTTCGAGGTCGTCATTGGAGATTTTAACGCCAAAACTGGACCTAGAAGAAAGTCTGAAGAACGTCACATTGGGACCCACGGATTAGAATGGAACGAACAGGATGAGCGGCTCTCTGAGTTTACCATGACGAGCAGGACCATCCATGCTAACTCGCAATTCCAGAAACCCCACCCTCAACGATGGACGTGGGAGTCTCCCACTGGAGAGTACCATAACGAAATAGACCACACCATGGTAAATAGAAGGTTTTGCTTAACTGATGTCGCTATTGTCCCAAAATTCTACACAGGATCAGACTACCACCTCCTTCGTGCAAGATTCTGTTTCTCGCAGAAAGGTGAAAAAGCCGCTAAATTCAAGAAACGAAGTTCCAAAACCACTATAAACTAGGACTTATTCAACTTATTTGTCGGCCGTTGGGAAGATGCCGCTGTCGATAACATCGACGAGTAATACGACGGCTCATTCAACATATTCACGTTAGCGCTATGAAAGCTAAGAGTTCGAAAGTCACCAAGAAACGTTTGTCTCCAGAAACACTCGTGCTGATACGCCAGCGTGGAATTGAACGAGTCGCAGGCAACCGCGAACTAACGTCCGAACTTGCAAAATTATGCAGACAGACGATAAAAGAGGACCTTAAAGAGAGAAGAGCAGAAGTAATGCTCGAAGCTGTAGAAGCTGGGAAAAGCATTCGCAAAGCCCACATAAAATCTGACATGCCATTTCGTCTGTGAAAAATTCAACAGCTCCAGGTCCGGACGGGATAAGGCCTGAATACCTGAAGAACCTTCCGCCAGTCCTCGTAAACACACTGGCTCAGCTCTTCACACGTTAACCGTCTGACTGCAAGGTCCCTACTCAAAGGAAGACCAGCAAGACTGTGCTAATGTTCAAGGAGGGTGACCTCCACAATATCGGCAACTATCGCCCAGTCCGCCTGCTGTTTGTCGTCTACAAACTTTTCACTCGAGTCATCCTAAACGTTATTGGCAGAACACTGGGGCATGTGAGCAAGCAGTTTCAGAAAGGATATATTACGCTGGACCACATCCACACGATGACGAGAGTTATTGAATTATCGCGAGAGTACAAAAGACCGCTCTGTTTCACTTTATCGATTTAAAGAAGCCCTTTGACTCAATTGAGATAGAAGCAGTCACGGAAGCCATTGGTAGTCAGAGTCCCTACGCGCTACATAAAAATTCTTCGTGAGCTGTACAAAAATTTCGCAATCAAGATATCACCATTCTACAACGATATTAATATCGACGTCAAAAGACGGGTTAGGCAATGCGATACCATTTCGCCAAAACTATTCACCACCACCCTTGAGAACATTATGCGAACATTGGAATGGTACAACATGAGAGTCGATCGCAAAAAAAAAACGATGATCGCAATTACACCATCTTCGCTTAGCCGATGACATCGTCCTTATAACACCAAACATTAGCCTCAGCATTGGAATATGAATGTGTCGTTTTCTTGTTCAGCAATCGCGAGGTTTTTAAACAGCATACATTTACCTCCATAAAAAACACAATACAATACAACGCTAGCTGACGTTTCGGCAGTATCGCCTTCTTCAGAGCCGCTTTTTCGTGACTTCCAATGAGGAAGTTTAGAACAGCTGATTATAGTCGCATATGGTTGACGACTGCACCATCCCACATCAAAAATCGATGCGAACGTACGGGATCGGATCAGGTCGCGTATGACCTCCGGGCATTCATCCCTGCTATTCATTGTAGGGTTTTTGGCATTGATCCAAAAAGCCTTAAGGAGTTTTCGCGCTGGTGTTTTGGACTCCTGTGCAAGGATATTGACTTTTACTTCAAAATCGTCTCCGCTATGCTTTTGTATCCTACGCGTGCCTAGTGGTGTGCTTCGTCTTAGTTTTCGTTTGCCATCTAGGTGTTCTTTTATACGGATACACAAAGGTCTGCCCGTTTCGCCAATATATTCATCTCCGCAATTGTTACAAGAGATCAGGTATATCGTACCTGAACTCATGCGATCACCGTCCCTGCCGTAAGGGCAAATTACGCAATTTGTTGTTTCACACAGACGGTCATACAGGCGGTTGCGAACTAATTGGCGACGTAGAGTAGTCGGTGGTATTTCAACTATCGCTACCGATTCCTCTAGACTTGCCCTTCTTAAGCATCGTTTTATAGCTGCGTTTACTTCATCGCTTATAAAAGGCAANTCATCCCTGCTATTCATTGTAGGGTTTTTGGCATTGATCCAAAAAGCCTTAAGGAGTTTTCGCGCTGGTGTTTTGGACTCCTGTGCAAGGATATTGACTTTTACTTCAAAATCGTCTCCGCTATGCTTTTGTATCCTACGCGTGCCTAGTGGTGTGCTTCGTCTTAGTTTTCGTTTGCCATCTAGGTGTTCTTTTATACGGATACACAAAGGTCTGCCCGTTTCGCCAATATATTCATCTCCGCAATTGTTACAAGAGATCAGGTATATCGTACCTGAACTCATGCGATCACCGTCCCTGCCGTAAGGGCAAATTACGCAATTTGTTGTTTCACACAGACGGTCATACAGGCGGTTGCGAACTAATTGGCGACGTAGAGTAGTCGGTGGTATTTCAACTATCGCTACCGATTCCTCTAGACTTGCCCTTCTTAAGCATCGTTTTATAGCTGCGTTTACTTCATCGCTTATAAAAGGCAACATAAACGGGATTTTGTTTTGGCCAAGTGTTTCGCGTGGGCGCGCCGTTCTCCTTGTAAACTTATCTCGTGGGGTTACTATTTCGTAGCCATTGGAGATGGCTATTTGCCGAGCCAAGTCGCGCGATTCTTCCTTTAGTTCCTTGGTAGTGCACACAGAGGTGGCTACTCGAAACATGTTTCTCACAATCGCCCTCTTTGTGTGTGAAGGGTGGGAAGAAAGGAAATGGACAAGGATGTTCTTGTTACTTGGCTTTCGATACCACTTTGTCAGGTAACCGCTACTTGATAGGTTTATTTGGACGTCCAAAAACGGAAGCCAGTTTTCTCTCGGTTTCTCCCGGGTGAACGAATGCTTACCTTTCAACAATTTCGTATAGTGAAAAAGTTGATCGAGCAAGAAAAAAAAACAAATTAGATTTCCATAGTCCTCTGTAGGGAACATCGTGGCTGTTTCAGAAATTCTTTGCAATATCTGTACACGATTACGACTGCATGTCGGTGAGAACATTAATCCAAGAAGTGGTCTTCAACTTCTTACCTCTCTTGATGTCACGTAGGAACTGCCGTTTTATTGAGAAAAGACTCATTCTTTCTTGGTTGTCCCTCAGTCTTTATCACCACCCCAATTAAGCTGAACTGCAGGCAGCTATTGTTCCACATAATCAATAGCCATTTAAATGACTCCTTAACCTAAACTGCTTCCGCCGACGATTCATTAATCCAACTATATTGTCACTGTTGCTTTCTGTTGCAAATATTTAAGCATCCAGGTTTGGAATTCAATATGGTAGAAACCGGGTTGGTTCTTTTTCGGAATTCGGAGGCAGAAATTCCATTCTAGCTGATTTTTACTTCATTCTCCGATTAGATAGTCATTATCGTTACACATGAATCGACAGTCTTATCGATATCCATTTTCCGAAGGAAAGTAACCACCAAGAATTGCACCTACGACTTCTCATTATTGCAACGGAAAATCATTCCAATATTGGTTTTTATATTTAAGTTTATCTAATCCAGACGGAGTAACGCAGCTGGAAGATTTCCACGTACAATTCCTTTTACTCTCGACTTCTTTGTAAATTCTCAACTCCTTAGGAGAGAACATATCAATAAGATTTATTTGCTTGAATTGGAGGTTCCTTACTCTTAATCAATAAAACGATAAGAGAAGATTGCCTTCATTATATCGATCCTATTGAAAAGAATCACAGGCAATCGATTGAAGTTGGAAACAATAGGACCTCTGCTTCCTCCATTGAGCAAAAACTAAAGAAGCATGCGAACTTTCGTTAAAATATAGAAGATGCAGTTTTTTATGTTGACATTGCCGCTAACTGGTTGGCTTGTGATTTTCTTGGGCTTCAATTTCGACTCCTTCTCTTCGACATCTTCACGGCTTGTTATGGATAGGATGTCACTTTGATTCGGAAACAACCACATCTGTCGGAAATTTATCGCCTCATCTATTAAGAGATTACTCCTTTACCAGAAGTTCCAAGATGGCCTTAGTAAGGCGCTCCCAAGTCGTCTGCACATGAATCCACCTGCCATTGTCAGTAGGAGACAAAATTATTCCTAACAAAGATAAAAACACCCAATAATTATTGTACGAAAAGTTTATAACATCTAAAATACGTAGGTTTGGATCACTGTTAGAGTGGAATTAGTGTGTTGGTTTACTTTTAGTGGGAACTCGCTATAAAATATTGAACCTCTTCTCAGCTTGATTGACCCAGAAGAGGACGAACCCGCATTTGTACATAATAGTTAAATATTCAGGGACCAGTACCCACTATGAAGTTTCGCTTAACCACTGGAGCGAAGTGTTGACAATGCATCCCTGCAGAATTAATTCCTAGTTTGGTTTGCTGAAAAGTTGCTCTATTTTGTTCCTGTCTTCCATGTAAACATTGAACAGAAACTGGAAAAAAAAGTTAGAACATGAAAAAAACGAAATGAAAATTAAGGTTCAAAATAGTATGCAGTAAAAATGCGAAGACACAATACTTTATTTAAAAGCAAAGGGTCAAAATTTGAAAGGATAAAATAGAGAATAATTACAAGGCAATCTAAATCAATGGTGTGAAGCTATCGAAAAAGTTCTGCCACCCAACTTGTGAAGGAGACCGGTAATGTCAGTACAGACATACCTTCTAGCCATCCCAGTGCAACACCTTAATTTAAAAAAAAAAGTTAAAGATGATATTATGAAGTCAACTACTAAGTATTTCCATAGACACTAAGTGACTTTCACTAACCAAGGATTGATAATGTCTTTCATACTCGCTTTCAAATGTTTACGTCCATAAAGTTTTGTTTTGACACCGAAAATTTCCTAACATATTTTCCGAGCTGTTTCAAAAATCGTAATGATAGCCAGCAAAACACCTTTGCGAATTCTCGAAATTCATGAACGTGAAGTTCTAATTTATATTCAAATGATATAATAAGTATCTGCATTTTTATAGACATTGCTGGAGTTGGGGCTGTTGAACCTAAAGAACAGTGATGCTTTGATAAACCTTATATAAGTACCTACCTCCCATAACATCACTGCAATAATGCCGTCCCATAGCCACTCGACTTACTGCGACCAGAACGGCAATCCCACCAACGGCTACGCGGTATTTCGGCAAGAAAGCTCTACTGTAACAGATTACATGTAGACAATTAAATTAAAGAAAAGTAGTTGAAAATGCTTAAATGCTAAGGAAGGTTATGTATTACAATTAAACACATGTCTAAAAAGGAAAAATGAATTAAGAGAATAGGTAAGCAACAACATATTCGTGTAGCGCATCGCTTACAAATGTCCTGCGCTATACATGGCTCCTTGGCTCGATCTTACGCCCTGGACCAACCAATCCTCATTTGTCATCCCACCTAGCTCGATAAATTGGTATCAAATTTGTTTGGGAGAATAAAATCACCGGCTTGATACAACGATGGGCCACCAAAATTCGGCTCAAATGCATGACTCGTCGCTCATGGATCGATCAGAAAAGAATGCTTTATCCTTTTATGCTTAATTTAACGGCAAGTCTCATAACTCTTTCAGACCAAATAACTTTTTTTGTTGTAAAAAAAAGTATTTAAGGACGAGACGACTCATAAGTAAATTATGAAGTATCAGTTAGAAACATGGACCAAATAGCTATGTCATAGCTGGCACAGCATAAAAAAGCTATGCATTTCAAACTCATTCTACGAAGTAATCGATAAGTAAAAAATAGGAAGAAACCAAATCTATGAAAATCTATGTAAATATCATCTGTTCATTTCGAACAGATACGTAATATCATACCAAATTGTAGCCAACATTGCTGCTCGTGCACTATGACCGGACGGGAAAGAAAACTCGTCGAATAACGGAGCTTCCAAGACCTGACTATTGTCAAAAATTCTGGTGAAAAGAACCAAATTATTAAAGGTATCGAAGTCGAAGAAAAAGTAAAGCATTGCTAGATTATATCAACAGTAAAGTAACGACTGAAGGTAGGATGGATGATCCAGACAGTTCAAAAAACAAGGCAATTTTTAATAAGGTATGTGAGGAGCATAACTGAACCTGATCATCGATGTTGTAGATAGGACGACGTCGCTGCACGGTTAACTTAATAACGCCCACAACACATAAGTCTGTCAAAAGTCCTGAAAGGAACAACGATTACAGGAAATGTAGAGGTTTAGAAAAAAAAGAAGGAAGAAAAATAGAGAGGAAAACAATTATTCTCGCAAATTTCAAAGGAGAAGATGGAAGGAAAAAGATGTTCTACCTTCACTTAATAGTTAATTAACGAATTATTTATCAAAAAGGCGAACTGAGAGACAGTAAAGAGAAACTTAGAGAATACGCCTAATTTTTGCATCTTTAATACAGCGAGAGATAAAGGTAAAGCTAAATTCTGACAAACGAGGTGGATAAAGTTCGAGACTTTTCTTTCCTAAGAGAACGAAAATATTTTTCTATTCTCACAATCCAAGAAGAAGAAAGAATCGCTGTGATAAAATCAGAATGTCCTTTGGTTCTCCACATCAGCGATATTTATCTTGATTCTCATAGATTCTTTTAAAAGCAAAGACTGAGGTGATAGGTAAAATATGAGAAGCAATCAAAACATCTCAGTTACTGTATTATCATGGCGGACAACTGAAAGATGAAATGAGCTCCACCGTTTTGTAAAACGGATTGCGACTCAGGTACTTTAGCGCGCTTCTTTTTCCTCTGCAGTTCCTCGTCGATTTTTTTTTCAGTTCTAGATGAATAGGTATCAAACGATTACTCAAAAATGCTCAATTTAAACAGAAGACTGCGTTCTCCAAACAGACCGTCCCAGAACTGCCATGAATATGAACATCATAAAAAATTTCAAGCGATCGATGATAGCAGGTTAAATTTAAGCGATGAAGATGAGACCCACTTCTGTCTTCCTGTCAGTGATAATTAAATTAAAAGGAAAGCACAAAAATAAGAGCAAGAAGCAAAATTGATCACCACCTATATTCAGCACAACTAGTTGATGCTGTGCCTCCGTACTCCATTTACCAGACACTGAACATACGAGGGCTAATGCGCTACAGGTAAGCCATGGAACCCCGTTCATCTATAAAGACGATTTCTTCACGATGGTCACCTTTTCGCATAGTTCAAGCACTGCTTTACTTAATATTACTCAGTAATCTACAGAGTAACTAGTTAGCTATAAACTACTAAAGAATCTATGTGCTTTCTGGGGATCGACTGCATTACTCATATAGCCCATATAGGTTTACCACCTCATCGTAGTTCGGAGGTGATCCTCGGTGTCGGGCTGCGATGTACAGCGGAGTGATTCATCCCCCAGCAAGGTCACCCAGGCTAAAAAGTAATCCGGCGTTTCCACCAGGAAGCCCAGCTAAGAGTAAACCAATACCAGGACTCACCACCTTCATTCTATTAAACTACTCTCGTGGTGGCAAGCCCTCCTCTGATCCACAAAAGCGGCGAATGCCTGTGGTGACGACGACCTGGGGCAGACTTTGGCCTGGCTGACCTCGGAACTCCAGGGAACCACAATGGCTAAACCAGTAAAACTTCGAAAAAATGAAAATTTTGCGGGGGCCTGCGCAACTAGTGAAGACGGGTCATTCAAATACCCAATTATATAGAAGCGTATAGAAGTTTGTAGCTGTCTTGCTACCTAGATTTCTATTTGCAGAATGCGTTTAGAGAACAAAGTCATAACACAGACCCGTTAAAATAACACTTTAAAATTCTTGACCATCTGCACGAAATTATTTTTGGAATGAAAGTTTCCGTGTACAGCTGGGCGTACTAGAAATTTTGGATTAGTCACTCTGATGATTCCCAGTCAATACGTTTAACTAAGTGAAGCTCATCGTCATTGGTGAACACAACAAAATTAGAACATGACATTTCCAAATGCAAAAACAGCTTTCACAAAAATATATACTGGAAATCACATAAAAGCCATGTATATGGGACAAAGTATCCAACTATAGAACTAACACAGCTGCCTGAAACTTGGTAACACACTGTTCTTTTATGCAAAATCCAAAACCAAAGCAGACAGATTCCTTGAAATCAAACTAAAATAAGATTCTCTTACAAAGTATTCGATCCACATAAGAGAACTCCTTTTTGACTCTTGTACGATCAGAGCCTCACTGAACGACTCATCCAAATCGTGGAGGACTTTTAAAATCTCTGAAATGGACGATAATATCGTGCTAGTAACAATGATAAAATAAAAATAGTAGAAATGACAACAGTACCAGGGAAAGGAACTATTAGATTTCGCGAATATTTTCAATATGCTCCAAAAGCAAGTTCGCTGTAAACTAATTTACCAGCTACTTATTGTACTGATAAGCCCTTATCAGTGGTTAAGGTACCTTAAAATACTTGGCGATCTTGGGAATGCGTAGCCACTACATGAAGGAAAATTGTCAAACAAAATGAAATACAGTAGACTTGGTAGGCCCATCTCGTATTAGAACATAAGGTCATTCACACCATCATAACTACCACCGAAAGTCTATGGTCTCGTTGAAAACAGCCAACCAATCGTTGTTCATAGGTGACTAATACGGTACTATACCTATTTGTAAAGGAAAAAAGCATTAACTTATCCACCGTATAGAATCCATGAATCACTGTGGATGCTAACTTACTCGATACTTTATACTTCTCTCTTTCGCAAATCGATGGAGAATGATGTTGCCGCCAGAATACTTTTCGTCTAATTTAGAAATTGTGTTAGCTGCGCAAGAAGACTTGACAGGACTTCCTTTCTCTGTTGCCTCTAAAGCCGTGTTACGGCTCTACTAGCTCACCACTATTTGCCATTTAGAGAGTGTCTTCGCTACCATTACAGTGATTTCTGGCACTGGTTTACTCTTAGCAGTTTCTGGAATGAAATATATTCTCGGTTTGGGGAGTCCTGCAAGGAGAATGAATCACATCAGCTACATATCGCAGTTCGATACCTAATCGACTAACCAAGATCAAAAACATGAGTTCTATTTCCAAATCGCAAACGTGGACTGAAGATATTTTGTACCCGAATGCTTTATAAATGAAACATATAGCAAATTTAACTGCACAAATGTGAGAGGTTATACAGAACAGACGTGGAAGTACTTCCGAATAACTGTAAAAATTTCGATCTGCGACAATGCAAGCTTGGAAACTAGCAAACTAAGACTGATTAAGACAGTACTACAGAATATTTGAATCTATGGACACAATATCCTTAACTTGTTCCCCTCTCCTCCTTTGCACTCAGTGTCGCTCACGAAATTGTATATGCACAATATATCAATTTCTTATATGACTAGACATCATATATTCTGCGGACCTCAGCACTTCCATTCGGTCCATTTCCTCCCTCGAACTCTAGGGTAGCACACTCCCAGGTTTCCGCCACAAGCATTTACCACCTTTCGCAGATCAAAGCTAACTTTTCACGCAATTCTGGTGCCAATTTGCCGACTTTGAATGGATCGCGGGCTTCGTTACCCTTGGACGAAATCGAAGCAGTACCGACGCGTGGGTTACACATCTCTAACCACTATATTTCGCGCACCCTTATTTACCAAGTGACTTACGAAAATTGCGAATACAGGAAAGCAGTATTGGTCTTTGATCTTAAGCAACTGATGAGGAGACCAGCACTTTATTTCTTCAAATCTATTTAATTCTAAAATCTCCAAGCGCTTTTAAAAATAAATTCACAAAAAACGTTCAAATTGGGCACATCTCAACAGTGAACAACAGAAAGAAGTGAGATCCACCCAATTCAAATGTTTATGTAAAGATCGCCGAATTTCTTTTTTGCGCCGTTATGTGCATGAGAACCAAAAACTGTTTGGTTTGGAATAAACATCACAGCATATTCAACACAACCTCCAGTTTATTTCTACTTCTGTTCAACAAACACGAGGTGCTATTTTATTTCTTTATTTACGTACACGCTGACGTTTCGGCGGATTTCGCCTTCCTCAGAGCCTAGAAGGGCCAAGTTGACTACAATCTACACGGCCAAACACCTACATAACCAAACAGAGAAAATGCTGAACCAAAATTTCAATCATATTGAACACAGCCTTTGCACACTCACCGCCTTCTATGAGTCTTCCACTAAATATGTTACGTGGAGGCCAACCGCACAAGTTCACACGGAATCGTATTGTGCCCATCTCATCAAAATAACAGGCTTATATACTACCTAATATCACTCATGATGAGGTATTCCTCCTTGCTGTTCATTTTCGAAACATTTTCGGATTCTTGGAATTAATCCAGAATGCCTCTTTTTGCGCGCTTGTGTTCTCGATTCTTGCGGGAAGATCGTAACTCTTACTTCAAAATCTTCTCCGTTATGTCTCTGCGTCCTATGCGTGCCTAGTGGAGTATTTGGTTTACGTTTGCCGACTAAGTTTTCTTTCATACGTACGCAGAGTGGTCTGCACGTTTCGCCAACGTATTCGTCTCCGCACGCTTTACAAGAGATCAGATAGTCTGTACCCGAACTCATGCAGTAACCGTCTCTACCGTCGGGACAAATTATGCAATTTTGCGTTGCACACAGACGGTCGTATAGGCGGTTACGAACTAGCTGGCGTCTTAGATTACTCGGTGGTATTTCGATTATCGTTACCGAATTCTCTAGACTGGCCCTTCTTGAACACCGTTTAAAGCTGCACTTACTTCATTTGAAATGAAGGGTAGTATAAACGGGACCTTATTGTCGCTAGAGTTATCGTTGGGGTACTTCTGTTTTGTTTTTTCTCTGTTTGGTTATGGAGGTGTTTGGTCGTATAGATTGTAGCCAACTTGACCTTTCCAGGCTCTGAGGAAGGCGCAATCTGCTGAAACGTCAGCCTGTGCGTAAATAAAGAAATTAAGTAACACCTCGTGTTTGTTGAACGGAAGTAGAAAGAATTATTCAATCAATGCCGACGTTAATAGAAAGCCGGACTTGGGAGTTTCTCCAGTTTCTGTCTTTCTTGTCAAAGGTTAAACGAAACTAGATTTTGAATTAAACCTTTCGCAACTACATCCGAATTTATATCATCTACGCGCGTGGGATCACACCATGGGATTACGTGGATTACCGCAGCGTGTACTGTGCATCGAACTCAACGCATATGATACGGTGGCCCTGCCTCCGAAGGTGACCACGCCCTTTCGTTGAGCTTTTTCGGTATACAGTCCGATTCCTCTATATGGCTTTCCACTCATTTCTATGTCCTACGTACTTTGCCCATTCTTTATGTTCTTCAATGCACTTTCTCATATTTTCAAAACTTTTCCATCTCCTCTGCGTAATAAAAAAGCTACTCTCCTACCATCTACCATCCAAAAATGTTGTTCTCGGCTGCAGACAGCAAGGTTCATATGCTGAGTATATCTCATCATTTTCACATATCTTTCATTCTCAGATATACTTGAGCGCAATGGTTAGGACCCATGATGTTCGAAATGATGAGTTATGTGAAAGGCCGTTCTGATGATAGTCCACTCTGGGTGCCTGCACAAGAAAAGTAATATTCCTTTTGGTAGGTGATACCTTAGCAATATCCTCATTAGCAAAAGTCTCACAATTTGACGAACAAACTTTCTAATTGATATATTTCTTTATATGATCTTATAAACTGCTCTTCTTAAGCTGACGCGAGGTTGGTACAAGTCTTCGTTGTCGCTGCCGTTGTTTTTGATGTTGTTGGTCGATGGCTGACGTTTCGGCAACTTCACCTTCCTCAGAGCCGTGATATTAGGTGTGGGACAGTCCCACAGTCCCGTTAGCCGTCGAACAACAACATCAAAAACAACGGCAGCGACAACGAAGACTTGTACCAACCTCGCGTCAGCTTAAGAAGATCAGTTTATAAGATCATATAAATAAATATATCAACTATCTATGCCGAGGTTTATAGAAAGTCGGTATTTCGAGTTACTAAAACTTTCTAATTTTTTTTTGGCAAACTGTCAAATGTATCTGTGTCATCTGCATCACTTGTCTTCCCGTTGATCATCGAGTGACTCGAGCGGGCACCAGTAAATCTTCTACTTCTCCCTTTCGCGTGCAAGAGTAGCCCGGTGGGTTCTGCTCGCTCCAAGAACTCGTTCAACATCATAACTTTCTTCTAAAGTTTTCGTGAAGAACTCTGACCATCGAATCGGAGGTCACCCTGCAGTACCTTTGACATCCCGAAAAATCCAGTCACTAACGACCTTTGTCCATCGGTTGTTGTTCATACACATCACGTGTCCGGCCCACCTCATCTTCTACTATTTGGCGTACAGAACAGCATCTTTAATTTTTGATCATTGACATAGGTTGAAGCTTCGGATCCCTTCCCTCATTTGTGTGACACGGGATACGCCTAGCATCGTCCTTTCGACTGTGCGTCCAATAACGTTGAGTGACCTTTCATCCTGCATACGTAGCGACCAGATTTCTGACGCATACGTTAAGGCAGGATGTACCATTGAGTCGAAAAGGTGGTGTGTGTAAAGCGTAGAGCAACTAAGTAAGATAGGAACAAGGTATTAACCAAGTGAAAAAAGTTTGGGAAGGAAAATTTTTGACAGAAACCAACACATGGAAAAAATCTGTTGCAATCAATGCATTCAGGTGGTAACGAAAGGGTGAGAAATAACCACGGGATGTAAACTCAGGTAATTAAACGCCGCATTGGTGGCAATAACTGTGCATTATAAATCGCTGATTAAGGACCGATCTTTGTACGATAAACAAATGGCTTTTTGTCGATAGTAAAACATTACCATTCATTTTCGGATAAGTAGCTAGGTTAGAGTAGAAATCTGATTTCCCCAGATTGTTCGTCAGAACTCTAAAAGCACAGCCTTTTTGAGAATGAAAAGAAACGTTTTGATGAATAAGAAGCGATACGAAATTAGATTCATTCAATGTTTTATTGTGTTAATCTTTTCGCAAGTACCACAACGAAAATCACATTGAGACATTCTTGTAAGCTTTCGAGCAGAGTTAAACAGCATTTTAAGAGCATATTCATCTTAGGATTACAGGATTACTAGACACCACGTTGGAGCCCAATTTTGGCTCATTTCAAAAGGTATACAACTGACTTGGATATCCGAGTAGGTGAAATTTTAGCTTTTTCGACTAATTAATAACGGTAACACTATACTGTTATACAACTCTTATTCGGGTAATGTTTAGACATCATCGTCTTCATCTTCAGAAGACGTCGAAACATTAGCCGAATAGAAGTTGTATAACAAGCCATGACGAGGTTAAAGGAAAGTCGGTTTCTAAAGCAGCACTAGACGTTTCTTTGGACAAACAACAGTGCAATTTACTCAATAACATTTACAGCAAAGCGATTCAGTAGTCACCAGATATATCACGAATGCTTTGAGCATACTTGTATTTCCTAGAACCAAAATACAAAGCACAGTGATAAATATATCAGAGTACTGCAATTGGTCAGGACTAACAGGTAACAAAGAACCTAAGGACAACAAAATAACGCCAGGTTGTTAAAAATACCGATACAATAATGGTTAACACATTTTGGGTACACATTAAGAATCAGTGTTACTATTTACAAAAACAGTAACAAAATTCCTGATAACCGCTAGTAGGGATAAAACACAATGGACGAGTTGTTATAATTTCGGGCCGGTTTTATCACCGATGGGAATGCTTTGTCAGAGGCTTATTGTGCCCTTTCAACAGCGCAGTACACAATGACAATACAGCAGTACAATGACATATTGTTGAATTTACTAACAACTTTGTCGCATTGTATTTACGGATAACTAACAATATCTAATAGTTTACTATTACAAAAAAATACTGTCACAGAACGAAAGTAATGGAAGGAAAACGGGAAGATTACGTGTCGATCGCGCAGTGGTCGTAATTACGGGGGATTGCAGTTGCAGATTGGTGATAGCAACGGTTTTATCATAAGCCGTGGATCTTAGCCGTGTAGATGATGGAATCTCTGGTTTGTATCCAGGAGAAATCCTGCCTTCAAATCATCACTGGTGGTCATCTTTCTCGACTTGTCGTCTGCGTCCTCTTTGCTTAGTAATCCTAATTAATTAAATATTCGTCTTTCTTTGTTTTGGTTCGCTAGCGAGCTTGTTAGCTATTTCAGAGATAAGAACATATGAGGAATCCTTAGTTTTACTTCTTGGCGGGTTTTATCACTTTATTGCTTTTGCTACTTTAACTTTCATTTGTTAACTGAGCGGACACTTGTGATCTTTATGGTCCAATTTCCACTGGTCGTAACGGTTTATATTGATTTTCACTCCATTACTTACTTAGATATCTGCAACCTTTATGCAAGTGCTAGAGTTCACCTTCCGGATTTACTGAGATTTTAGATTATGCCTAAATCTAATCTCCTCGTTATCAAATTGTGCCATTCGAGCTTTAGTATAAAGAATTCGTTTGTTGTCACTTATAAGCATCACCATAGGCCCGCGTAGATTGTGCAGAGGTTTATAGCTAAGATTCTTCCTGAGCGCTAACGACTTCCTACTTTATAAGGCTGGCCGATCGAGAGCGGTCTAGCGATCCGAGAGACGAACTTGATAAAGTTACTTTGAAATTTATCCTACTGTGAATATATGCTCTAGTAGAGTGGATAGCAGACACTGTTGTTTATAAAAAACTTCGTCTGGTTTTTTTTGCTTGTAAACACATTTGACTGGCTTTTGTACCACTTTCCTGCATTGGCATCCTTCAAAGATTTCTTTGGTTTTCTACGGAAAAGTGAGCTTACTGATGTGGTCGATGACTTACACGAGGTTAAGGTTTTTCGTGCTGATCTCGCCTTGTTGTTCATGTTCACTTGTTTATTTTAACTATCTTTTATTAGTGAAATGATTGGTACGAAATACTTCGTTTAATCCCCATTCTTTTATTGATGTGATTTGATTTTTTTTTATTCTTTGGTTTATTTTGTTTTTCCTCACTCATTCCGAGAGGTCGAAGTCGTCTCATCGGACGTCTACTACATCTTTCGATTTAGAATACTTGCGGTAAGAGGAAATGGTCATACGAGCAGTTCTTGGATTAGCTACCTTTCAACTTATATTGGGAGATGTCGTTCAACTGGATACTTCGAATTTTGATGCAATCACGAGTGAGTACTAATAACTTTCGTTTATAACATCTTCCTCATTTCAGTCTTTTCTCTTCTAGAGTCCAACGATATAGTGTTCGTCAATTTCTACGCTGACTGGTGTCGTTTCTCTCAAATGTTGAAACCGATTTTCGCTGAAGCGAGTGAAAAATTTCAGGTTAGCTTGGGAAATATTTTGTTTACAGAAAAAGAACAATTTTGGATTAACCTCGGTGTTAGCTAACCCACATTGTATTACGAAGTTTCCAATTTAAGCTGACATGAGCTTGTTAAAATATATTTTCATATTCAAGAGCTAATGTTCTGAGGAGTTAGCCCTCTTTAGAGGCTTAACCTGTTTTTATACAGCCGTGCCTTTATTTCCGATGAATATCTTTTGGCCTTAACAAAAATATATTTTACAAACGGGACCAAATACTTGTCTGTGGAAAAAAGTTCACTGTTTTCGTTTTTAAAGAGTGAGACCACATTTTCTTGCCTGTGCTACATATTAATAACCTCTTGTCGGTTCAAAAAGGGGAGCATAAGATAATGCTTTTATTCCCTTTCCACCTTTCCCAAACCTAGTTCTTCTCATTTCTTCTTCAGAACTTGCCACAAGGAAAAGTGGTCTGGGGTGCAGTGGATGCTGATCGGCAAGGTAATAGTTGTTATATTTTATTCTACTATTTGTTTATAGGATGTTTACCGTGTTGTTTTGAAACCTCCTATGGCTTCGCTGCTGCGATCATATTTATTAATTGGGGCTGCATCCTGAGATAAAGAGCAGAGGATAAGGCGCGCTCGGCGTTGATCATTCCGCTCTGGGAGACGCCGTGCATTCGACTTCATCAACAATCGTGAGAGATGAATTGAATGCATATTTGGCCTATTCATTGATCTGCGGAGGGCTACCGATGTATCAACTCAGTACTGCTATCCTCTCAGACAAATGTAGTGCCAATTTATTGACGGCATGGTGTGCTTGTTGAGCCCAGAACGCGGGATGGAACCAACAACAACGTTTGTATTGCAAGGAACCTCTAACCACTGCGCTACACTTGCTCTAAATTCAGAGGTTCTAAAGACTTATTTAATCTTTAAATATAGTGCAACACCAAGTATTATGTATGGACGAACCAGTCACAATCGATTTTAATAAAAACAGTGGCTGTTTATCACATTCGTGACGACGCGTACTTTCCCGTGGGGTGCTCATGGACGACGCTTAATTTCGTGGCCTTCTTGGCATGACCCATATGAAGGTCACACCGGCCTCAACGTCTTGAAATTTGAAAGCTCTACCCGATTTCCATCATTTAATTCAGTCCTCCTCTGCGTTTTGAAACAACTGTTGTCCACTGTTCAATAATACTGTTGTCTCCATTTAATGAAACTGTGAAAGTTGTACAAAGATTATTACGGTGTTCACCTCTTGGTTTTGATATCCTGTCATTCCATGCAATATCCAAAAGCAGTGAAAATTAGAGAACGAATTTCTTATCAAAAATTCTGCTGCATACTGCATGCGATGCCAGTTTTTTGAGGCGAAGGCGTTTCTGACACTCTCCTCAGCAGCAGTAGCTTTTCGCCTACGGAGGGAGAAATTGTTAAGAGGACACCCTCCCAAGGTCGACTCCAGCCCGGTATCTGCGTTGCATGAACTATCAATTGATTAAAACTGTTAATCAATTCGTTAATCGGCTAGATTGCAATATTGTTGTCCACTGCAAATGCCGATTTACATTAGGTACGACTCCACGGCATGTAGTGCAGTGACAATGTTATTCGCACTACAGGCAAAGTCCGACCAATCCAGGCTCGGTTTGACCTTGCCCCCTGTCTCCCAACCTTCCTGCGCTTTTGGAGTCGAGAAATTGGAGCTGGACTTCTCTGGAACCAGCTAACTCACTAAAATACACATAAGAACGGCGTACCAAGGCTATCCCAGGATTCGATAGAGGATCGACTCGATCAGCGTTCAGCGATATTCGTAAAGAAGTCCATGAATTCTCATGGTGCAGCAGCCGAATCTGCACATATTACGTTTGAACTCCGTCGTCGTGGCTTATGGATGCGAGGAAGACTTCACATGGAGGAAGTGTTAAGTCCGCACATGTGATGTCGGGTTATATAATCAAAATTGCCTTTCTGGAGTTGTGGCACACGCACTATATATCTCACAGTTTCTTTCATTTTGATTATATTTGTCCTAAGCTATTTAAAAAGTTGTAATATTGCCTCACCAAAAGCTTTCCCCATTACTGTGCCGTTTTCTACCAAACTCTTTTCGTAAATGGCTGGTATTGATAGATTTTAGCTGAACTGGCATCGCGATTTCAAGTCAACAAATATCCAACGTTAAAGCTCTTCCGAAATGGGGAAGTCGTGCGAAAGGAGTATAGGTAATAACGGTTGAGATGGCTTTGCTTTCTGTACTGTAAAATACAGTGTTTCTAGGTGATTTCGAATGAGTTATTCTGTTTAGAAGTCAGCGCTCAGTAGAAGCCCTTTCTGACTTTGTGCAGAAGCAGTTGGATCCGGGTGTAAATGTAGTTCAGAGCGAAGAAAATCTCAACAATAAATTGGACGTAAGCAACCTTACCGTGTGCTTATTTAACAGCTTTATCACAAACCGCACAAAATCATAGTTGTGTTACTTTTTTTAGAAGGAGAAACGTAATGTTGTAGCGTATTTCCCCCAACTAGAAGGTGCGGAATATGAATCTCTGAAAAAGGTAGGAATACTGAAAAATGCCAATCTCAGTCTGTATTTTCAAAACTGCTTTACTGGTCTTACTTGTAGGTGGCTTCGATTCTGCGAGAGGAATGTTCATTCTATATTGGTAGCGGTCCTGCGTTTTCCTCCTTAACAGCGCATGGTCCTTCGTTGTCTTTTATGGGAGCAAATGTTGGTATTTTGTGGGTATTTTAGGTTTCATCGAAGTTTGTTCATGCCTTTTATAGAATCCTGAAGCGTTGCCATTCACCGGAGACATGAAAGACTACGAATTTCTGAAGTAAGTTTAGATACTGATTTATTGGAAAACCAATTAGTTCGCCCAAGGTTTTCTTTTATTTATTTACAATCTATGGTTATATTATTATCTTGTTTTTACGAAATTCAAAATCAGAATTTGCAGGCAATGGTTAACTGATAAGTGCATTCCGCTCGTTCGTGAGATCACGTTCGAAAATGCCGAAGAACTGACCGAAGTATGTGCCTTGGGTGGTCTTAAGTTTTATTTGTTTCTTCATCTGGTTTTTTTTGTTTAGGAAGGCATCCCTTTCCTTATTTTGTTCCGTCATCCTGATGATAAACAAAGTGAGAGAATTTTCACTGATGCTGTTATCAGAGACCTCCCGGATCAAAAAGGTTCGTGAACTTCAGTCAACATGGCGAGTGCTTTATGTTTTTCCGCAGAAACTTTGATTTCTATAAGCGTCAAGTGACAGGATCTCCTCTCAAGCTTTTTAAAATGGAAATTCTCCTTTTAAAAGATGAGCTATAAGGTCAGCTGAAATAAGTGTGATTATGTCTTGATGAGCCCATCGTGTATATATATATATATATATATATATAACATATACATAGACGTTCTTGTCCATGACACTTCGATTTTTTCTTTTTTTCGTTTTATATGAAATTGAAATGTTTTAGCTGCGATCAACTGTCTTGTTGCTGATGGAAAGAAGTTCGCCCATCCTCTACATCATTTAGGCAAGAGGGAAAGCGATTTGCCAGTAGTTGCAATTGACTCATTTCGACATATGTATCTTTTTCCTAATGCAAATGATCTTCAGTGAGTTCACTTCTTTTTCATATTTGTCCTTTATCAGTCTTTACGTGATTTCAGCATCCCTGGAAAGTTACGACAGTTTGTTTTGGATCTACACAGTGGCAAACTGCATCGAGAATTCCATAATGGACCTGATCCTGTTGTACAGGTCAGTTGCGTTTCTTGAAAATGGTTCTAACAGAAAAGTTTCTATTCCTACCTGAGTACTCATGCTTTGGTTTTCAAGCCTTTGTATTTATTCAACTGCATTTTCACACTTTTCGGCAGTAACTTCATATAAACTCTTCATTTAAAAAGTTTCAAATTAACGAAGGAGTGAGGATAATAAGATAAGAAGATAGGTTACAATATAAAAGGAAATTTAGTGGAAGCATTGAAGGGTAATCTTTCTCTAAAAGGCATTATATTGCACCTATACACAAAGTATAGTCCAGTAAAACCATCGAGATATTACCTTTAAACACGACTAAGAGAAAGGCGAAACGAAGGATACGCATGGTGTGATGGTGAACGCTTTAGCCCACTGAACTGAAAGGGTAATAACGAAATTCGATCACCGCCGCAGACAATGCAGTAGGGAACAAACGCGCTATTGTCCTTAACGGGGAGTAGCGCACTTCACCACTGCACCATCCGAGTCCTTCGTTTTCCCTGTCTGTCAGCTAGTTCTGTCGATCTTTTGCCATCAGCAACCACCCATCAACGGGATTGGACTGCCGTTAAGAAGAGTAGGCAGTAAATAATACGTTAAATTGTGATTATAACTGCGGCCTCAGCTTAACTGGGTTCGTTGCCGATTTGGGCCCCCCAGATCAATCCCGTTGACGGGTGATTGCTGATGGCAAAAGATCGATAGAACTAGCTGAGAGATAGGAGAAACAAAGGATCCGCATGGTGTGGTATTGAACGCACTGGCCCCCTGGAATGGTTAATAGTGCGTTCATTCCTCACCGCGGACACCTACGGTCGGAGTTATGCGAATACTTTAGCATCATTATGGTTGTGTTTCACATCATACCCTACTATGGAAGAAGGGTTGTCAGTAAATAGAGAGTGGTTACACTGAGATATTAGTTAAGATAATTAACTCAACGTGACTCCTTAAATGGCTTTTTTTTGTTTTTACCTACATTATCTGTTCCAGAATGTTGAGACACAGCCACCTCCATCTGTATTCGAAAAGCTCAAGCCCTCACACAACCGGTACACTCTTCTCGAGAAGGACGAACTGTAGACCACCCTTACTTTTCTTCTGCTCAGTATGGTAGTATATTTTTTGCGTTGGAGATTTAGGAAAATATTGGTTGTACTATGTACGTTTACCGTATTAATTCACAAATGCCTCAGATTTATGTTTAATAGTTACTATGGTGACAGTGTCGCAGTTGAATACCTTTGCAAAAGTTTTGTTAGAATTTCTGATCTGAACATTAGCAAAACTCCGTAAGTTTTAAAGGGTCACTAGTCTGCATAACTACTCTCATTCATGACCAAAATAACAAATGGCTTCGATTTATAACGGTAGTGCCACAGCCTAATAGTTTTTCAGCAGCGTAAGCTGAATTTTGGTCTGGATTTTGCTGGGAGCCTGCTGCTTTTAAGGCAGTACTAGTCTTATTATGCTTGTTTGAATTCAGGCATTTTCTCCCTTAACAGTCGATTGCTGTATGTTTTTTCCATGTATTATTCTCTTGACTTTATTTTCTGGTTGGCAATTAGAGTTTTAAGGTCTTGGGCTATTTGGTGATTTCATTTAGCTTTTTTAAGCATCGCGTTACTTGTGGAATACTTTTTGTACGTTTAAAAACCCAGTTTTACGTGGTTTCCATTGCCGAATGGGCTTCACTGTCCTCTACTAAAGTGTTAAATTGGCTGTGATGCGTCGCATGTTTATCGTTGTTTTCTTGTTTTCCTAGAGTTCTGGCGAAGTGAAAATCCTAGTTGTGTGGTAGATTTATTCTTATCTTTTGGTGCTTTGGTTTCTTCCACCGCTATTTCATTTTATGCTCATAACGATAATAACTGTTAAATAAAGGGTTTAAAATTGTCAGAATTCTCGATTCACTGTTGTAAGTACACTGAATACTACAAAACCAAAGCGCCCCAGTGCACTCCGTAATTGACAAATTCATGCTTCGAACGTTATTCCTGAAGAAGAGTAACTGGTATTTCCGTCGTTCGGTCTGACTTGCAAGTTTTTCTAGAAAATTGTTGAAACATCGAGCTGTCTCCGAGTTGTTTATTCTCGGATTTTGGATAATCTTGAAGTTTAAGATTTATAGATTGTGTTTTTGAAGAAGTAAAGACGTTATAATAGGAGTTACAGTGAAGCTTAGGGTTTCTGTTTGGTCTTCGTTTAAGTGGTCTGTTAAAGACTGCCGAGAGATAGCCAATTGACAGTTGTCCTTGAGAAGGTCATGCTATCATAGAGCAGGTATACTGCTCTTGTAAAGGCGAAGTTTGGAATCTGTCATATTCGTTTTTTTCACCAAGTAGGGTAGCATGTTTTCTGGGTTATAGGCTTAAGTATTATTGATCTCGTGTTTGTCGTTGCTCTTTGAATACCTAAGGTTTATGTGTACTAAGTATTGATTTATTGACAGTGTCACAGTTAAGTAGCTTTGTAGGAGTTTTGTTCAGATTTCCCGTTTGAAAATTAGTAAAACTCCACTAGTTCTAAAAGATAACGGGCTGTCCATGACTACTCGTATTCATGGACAGAGTAACAGATGGTCCTGTTTTTTACGAAGTAGTAAGATTTATGGTGGTAACGTTACATTCGAATGGCGCTTTAGCAATTTGGGCCGAGTTTTCGTCGAGGTTCCACCAGAAATCTACCTTTTCTAAGAGGAAAGCATCCTTATATTTTGCTCAGGTTATATGTTTACATCATTAGGAACAGGTTACTCTCGAATTTCTTGTGTTGTTCTGTTGACAGTGTGCTCCGTATTTCTTGTCAAGGTGAGGGTTAAGTCCTTGTCTTATTGATTTCATTATGTTTTCCTATTGATCATATTCTCTGGGTTATATGTTTATGTACATTGAAATTCACTTTTAAATTCTATTCATTAACCAGTTAGACTTCGCCATTTTCTCTATGACCATGTTAGTGGGCTGTGGTACGTCCCGTTTTTATTCACTTCTGATGAGATCGGATTCTTAATGGTCCAATTGAAACTGTTCCTATCTTGAATTGTTTCGGTTTTCCCACCACTATATCGTTCTGTGTTCGTAAAAATTGCATCCGTTAATCAGAGAGTTCTAAATAGTAAATTTTCTATCAATATAACGGATACATTTTATATTATGCATGTAGACTGGTCTTGGGCACTCCGGCGTTAACCACTTCATCTTTCGATCATTATTTATGAAGAAAGGTGACTGGTGTTTCCGTGTGGTCTGACGTAAACCATAAAATTTTCCAGAGAGGAGTTGTTGAAGGTTACAAGTTGTGTCATAGTTATTTCTCAGCTACTACATTTGGCTTTGGTGAAGCAATGATGTTATTATCAGGATGACGACAGCGTCGACGAGATCGGCGTATCGTCTGGCGACTCAAGAAACTCAAAGGTTGTCGACGTTCCTTCCAAGAAACTACTGTGTGGCCACATCGTCCGCACAACTCCGGAGGAGGACAATACCGTTGTTTGTGACAGAGAAGTTAAAAGATATGCAGGTTAGCTTTTTAGGTTAACAATGTGAGTTACATCTCGCGTAATGTTCTTCACAGCATACTTGAAGTCAGTTTCTTTACTCTCAAGTTCAATAGTGCTTGATAACATCGAACTTTCCTTTTTCCTTCTCTGCAACAACATTTTCAGTTGAATACTGGAAGTCGTTATGTGTTCATCTGCGCCATCATGGTGCTAGTCCAATTCCGCATCTGCGCCATGATGGTGCTAGTCCAATTCCCCTACGGGCTAATCAAGCCTTTCATTCCTCTGGGGTCTGGAAATTGGTGCAGGACTTATCCGTGAAAAAATCGCTCTCTGCAGTCTGATTGGAAATGCTCCAGCCCAGTTATCTCAGGACTCCAGGGAGAATTGCTCCACCAGCATTCTACGACATTCGAGATGAAATGAAAATCCTCAGCGGCAACCGAAGCCACACGTAAAAGGTGGAATATCTTCGCGGATGGTGAATGCGAGGAAACGAATCGAATGTGAGAAGTGCCGAGATCCGCACAGTGGACGTGAAGACAGGTCATATAAAATAAAATGAAATAAAAAAATCTATATGTAAGCTTGGTACTTTTCCTTCTGATACTCTTATTGGTTCATATTCAGAAAGCCTGAACGTTATATTTCAAGCTACATTTTTTCTTATCCTCTCGTCTCCCCACGTATGAACCGATGTGGGATTTCTTTTCGTTGGTTTCATGAAGTTGCTAGTTCATATAAGCTGTATAAATGTTTTGAAGTCAAGCCAATTTTCATATTTCTTCGTATATCGAACGTTTCCTTTATAGCTTTACGTTCACAACCCGAAATGCATTGGAGAGCTGAGGTGTGTTCCGCTCACTTTTGGAGTCGTTGACAGCAGATTTTAGGTCGGGACTTCCTCGATACGTCTATACGATCATTTAAAACAGATCATAGAATTCGTGCAATTCGACTTTATCGCAAGTTAATCAACAGTAGCTGACAAATACTTTCTTTTTGACGGTGTCGTTGGATATCAGCCAAGTAGAATGCTCTCTGTATGCTCTATGGCATAACCTTTCGTTAGGCAAAGGATAGGTATACAGTAGAGGTTTCATCACCCGTCGTTTCGTGAGGTTTTCTCACCGTGGCTAACGCCGGTCTTATAATTAATTGACATATGTCGGTTGTTCTTGGGTCCATGAAAGTGATATTGAATCACGTGCTATTCGTTATTGGCCTGATTAAATAAGAACGTGAAGGGCAGTATCTTAGGTGTCTGTTCTGGTCTTGTAGATTGAAATCAAGAAAGCAGTCTTCAAGGTATGTCATGAATATGTTATACCTTCGTTTATTCTTCTTTAGGTTTCCTCGAAAATATTTCGAGATCTTTAGCTCGAACTTATCATGTAATAAATCAGTTGAAAACTTTCCCGCATCATTTCGATTCTTTTTTTTGAAATTATAAATAAGATGTAAATTTTGTTCAGATTGAAATCGCGAGTCAGTTTATTTCAAACACTCCCTATTCAACTGCCAGTTATACTTCACTGAATAGGATTACCAACACGAGTAGCAGTTTTACTACGAGTTTAGAAAAAATGGCTAAGTACTACTTTGAGCAGGTTAGCTACTTTTTCCAAGCACCGTTCTTTTTTCCGTAATTCGTTTTTTTTAGTAGTTTTTTAAAATTACTTCAATATACACGTATTATAATGATGTGAGGGTGCGTGTAGTGCAGTTATCGGAGGTGCCTTACAATACACATGGGACCGGTCTCTGCGCCTCGAGGCTCAGCAACCCATTCATCCCTCTGGGGTCGGCAAATTGGTACCAGACTTGTCTGGAGGACGGCAGCACTGGCCCGATACATCGGTAGGTTACCGTGAGTCATTGTAAAGGCCATATATGCATTCAATCACCTCCAAACGATGCTTAGTGAATTCGAATGCATGGCGCATCCCTCAGGGATTGATCAACACCGAGAGCTTTATCCTTCATCTCTTTATGATGATGTGGATGCGTGCACTGTTCTATATGATATGGTATTTCATAATAAGATGTATTTTTTCCATTATGATCACTTGTTTTAGCCTGCATTTTGTATCTTTCATGTAAGTGCATTTGTCTTAGAAGTAAATTCTTGTTCTTCGACATAGTTAAACGTTATGAGTCACCGCAGCAAAGCAGGTTACATTAATTTCCGATGGATAACTGTCTTTAGGGTGGTAAAATGCTTCGACCGACTATTGCGTTATTGATGGCGAGCGCGTGTAATGCTGCAGCACCAAAAGGAGTTCGGTAAAGTAATTATTGACTGTTAATTTTATCGTACCATATCTATGCAGTTGCTTTTCCTTATTTTTCCTGAAGAGATACTTGCATTAATAATCAAATTACATGCTTTTTCCTTTGATATCTCCTATCGTTGATTATGAGGTGACCTGGGTAAGGCCAGCAGCCATGTTTTTCTTTCCGTGTATTAAAGTTGCCCAATGAATTCTATTCGCTCTGGAGACTGGGACAGCATCATACTTTCTTTGTAGAACCTTCAGAAATCTGGCGTTTAGTCGTCGTGGGTTAAACATTTTTGAAATCTCGTAGGATCCAGTCGCTAGCATCTCTTGTCCGTCGATTGTGGCAGACGCATCTGATATGTTTTTTACTCGGTTTTTTTGGTTACTTAATAGTGCTAGTGAGATTTTATAGCCTTGTCGAACCCCTTTCTTTAAATAATAACTTTGAGAATTTTTTTAATGATTGAGGGTGCACTGGTTATCCAGTTTCCTTGACCGTTTTTCTCCTATTGAAAATAGAAGTGTTATTAAATCGGTCATTGCTGTCGAGGACGTTTAAGTCTGTAGACAAATATATAGCAGGAAAACTGGTCACTAGTTCCAATTATGGTATGGATCTCTTCTTTTGTACAACAAGGCAACTGTTATGCGGAATAGATCAGTTTCCGTTCTTCCACAAGACATTTTCCTAGCAGCAACATTGGTTAGGAAAAACGCTGCGGTATGCAATTCGTCATGGTAGTGATTGTTAGAGAACTCCTGTGCCCATTGAGAGAGCTTTTGGATCCATGAATTCCAGTTGAAAACCGTGCTCATCGTAATAAACGAAACATTCTGTCCGTTACATCCCGTTCCATAGGTTCCGATGCGTAGTTCTTGAGTCGTTCTCCTGCGACGTGTTGACTAGGACACCAATGACGCAAACTCTCCTACTAGGTGTTTCTTATCTTGTATCATAATTAGCGTCTTCTAGACGTCACCATTTTTTCTTGGCCACTTCGATAACGTCACACCAGGACCAAGGAAATAGGGTCTCTTGTTTTTTTTCCTTAGCATGATAACGCATAGTTTACTGTTCATGTGTAAGAGCTGAATTGCACACGGTTCGTTTGCCATGCCTTTCAAAAGAAGATGACTCCGATTATAACTTTTCGGCTTTCAAGGCACGCTTTTCTCCAACTGAAGTGCTGAATACAGTCCACGTGAACAAGAACAAACCCATTGCACTCATGTATGAACATACGTACAGAAAATGGATGTAAATTCGGTACAGTGAGGGAAAAGAGTCCTTTCACGTGAATGGACCTGTGTTTAAAGGGAAATATAAGGCTGATTTTCCTCTGCGTTGAAGCATATTCCATTCTAGGAGCGCGTCACATTACAACGAGGTATTGGCTGGGATTTTCTGTACGAGAAGGATTCGTAAGAAGTGGAAAAACGTTGCATAATTGTTTGAATAACGCAGGTTAGAATGTGGATCTGAGGAAGTATCTCTGAACCAGTACAAAATTGGCATGATTAGTGAAATGATTCACACGGCCAGTTTGGTGCACGATGACGTGATTGACGGTGCAGATACGAGACGTGGCAACGCCTCAGTCAACGCGATTTGGGGGAATAAGATGGTAAATCTTGTGTATTTCATGAATATTCTGTCTGTTTGTATGTCATCAGAATCCTGATTTTCCACATTTTTTTTAAAGATTACGGTGTTATCTCCAGATGTTTATTTCAGGCTGTATTAGTTGGTGACTTCATTCTTGCACGTGCTACTCAGATATTATGTTCCATCAATAGACCTAATGTTATATCAGTCATGGCGTCAATAATTGAAGACCTAGTTATGGTAATGAGTTTCCCTGTATTGTCGACCTTTTTGTAGCTGTTTAAAACTTTTAAGGTTTTTTTCTTTGAAAATTCTAGCAATTCGACGTTTGTACTTCCGGATTCGTCCAATGTTCAACTGTGCTTTACATTGGGGATGTTATCGTTTAGGGAGAATTTATGCAAATGACTGCGAAAACAGGAGCAACGGAGGACACAATGGAGCAGTACATGGAAAAAACGTTCAGGAAAACGGCCAGTCTTTTCGCAAACACTTGTAAAAGCGTTGCATTACTAGCTGGTGCGTTTTTTCATTGCGGTTTTATTAGATATTTTCCATATTTATGTTGAAACACAGGAATTTCTAGAAATGTTGAACTTTGCATTTCTCTTGTCATCGTAATTTTCCTGTTGTGCTTACTGAAATTTCAATCCAGAAGGTACTGCTGATCTACAATGGCGTGCATCTGAATATGGACGACATTTGGGGATTGCTTTTCAATTGGTTGATGATGTTCTCGATTTCATTTCATCCGCTGACATAACTGGGAAACCTGTATCTGCTGATCTGAGACTAGGTGTACTATTTCTCATTTTATTTTCTGTTATCCAAGATTTTGTTTTCGTGACTACTCATTTGTACAAATGGAAGGTCGCATTTCAGCATAAGACAGTGATTTGTCTGTATATGTGCTTTCATAAGGTATTATTTGAAGGTCTTGCCACTGGGCCCGTAATATTAGCTGCTCAGCAATATCCAGAACTGAACACGTTGATGGCCAGAAAATTCGCCGAACGAGGAGACGTAGATAGAGCAAGAAATATCGTTCTAAACTCAGATGGCATAACAAGAACGCGAAAACTTGCTCAGCAACATTCACAAGACGCTGCACGTCTAGTTAGTTCCCATTCTTCTTGCATTATCACTTTGCTTTTTTAATTTTCTGCCGAACATCAATTTGAGTGGAAAGTTCTGATTTCCTTATGAGCTGTGATGTAATGATCTTTTTTAGAAGTTGAGCTGAAATTCGTGTTATGTGCACGAAGTGGTTTGAGTTTCTGAAGTATTGAAAAGAAATTGTGTTTCGTGACCACAATTTTCCGACCTTTCCATCCAGAACCTTGCAAGACGAGTATTTTAGCATCATTGCTGTATACTGTTTATAGGCACGTGTGGCACAATGATAAAAGGGGCCCTACATTACACATGGGATCGGTCTCGCGCTCCAGCTCCACTGAGCCTTCCATTGCTCCGGGGTCGGCAAGCTGATACTAGATTTGTCTGCGAGGATAGCACCACTGGCTCGATACATCAGGAGACCACCGCGAGTCGTTGTAAAGGCCAGATGTGCACTTAATTGCCTCCAACGATACTTAATAAAGTCGAATGCATGGCGCATCCCTTAGGAGTTGATTAACACTCAGAGCTTTATCCTTTTACTGTATACTGTTTAGAATTTTATGAAATAACAACCATACTGTGGCATATGAAAAACGCAAACCCAAGTCTTGATTCGAACCGGGGATTACCCTTTCCGAGGCTCACATTTTCTCCACTGCACCACTGAGGACGCTCCTTTACCTTTCTTGCAGCAGAGTTTTTTTTTTAAAAATTTTTCCTCAACTTCGTCCTTCTGTAATTATATAATAGTGCCACTTATTGATAGTCCTATCGATTTGATTTCACATGTGGCGAAATACAACAGATTACAAGTGACTAAATTAAGACCGTACTCTCTCTTGATTGTAACATTTTTAGGCAGCTACATTACCTAATGGAGAAGGTGCTGCTGATGTCCTTGTGGATTTTGCGCTTTCACAAATAGATAGGCAGTCATAGCGTACGATTTCTTTCTTCATTTTGCCGTTTATTTTTTAGGTTCTATAAATGATTACAGAGGTAGTTTTATTGTAAATATACATCATTCACTTCAATATATTACCTAACTAGTTAACAAACTGCCTTGTTAATCATTCTTTCAATGGAATTTATGGAAATTTGTGCTACTACCGTACTGCTTGCGAATAGCGTTGAAAAGCCATATGAAACATTTAGTTTCGTGAGCAACTTCGAATTGTTAACGTTGGTTACGATTTCTCTTAGTTTTGCTGGATTGCTGAATCGAATCAATTTTTCTCGTGCTACAAGACGAGAATGCAATACGGTGGTAAAATTTTATTGTAAGTAGCAGATAGGTAGTAGATAGGTAGTGAGTACTGACTGTTGTTCGTGAATCTCCTGTTTTAATGTTGTTGATTTTACTTGAATAGATTGTTGCGTATATTTAAAATAGGGCATTATGAGAGTAGAGTATTAGTTTTATTGTTGTGGAAAGTTCTTGAATCTATAATGCAGTCCCAAAATGTGAAAACATTGCTTGTGGATGCGTATAAGTTTTCTTATAGTTGAATCTTGATCTGTATCCGTACGATTTGAAAACTCTTACCCGGTTTTGATGTTACTAGTATTAGATTTTTAACCCAGATGAGTAGTAGGAATCCGTACCAAGGTGTCCTTGGGATTACCGCTTTCCTTCACTTTAGTGCTCAGTATATCATGGAAAAGTAGTGGCTAAAGGACAAACAATAAAAATGATTTACAAGACATAGTGTATTTTTGGAAGAATACATTCATCTTTGAGTATACTATTCTATTCAGATAACTGCAAACTGGTTTGCAGATGAGCTAGATATGCCATATTCCTGGTAGGGGGAAGCTATACCCCTTTATAAAAGTCTAGTTACCGCTCTGCGATCGACTTATTGACTCATTTGTTTTATGAAGAACTGTCTCTATACAACAACAATTAGATTTACAAGTTGAGAGGAAGGCGGAAAATATTGTGGTTTTATTCCAATGGATCTGGAGTGACTTGAAGTGTCGATATGGGAATGGTACATTCTTCCAACCACTTTTTCAGGCAAAGTTTTCGTTACCCATTGCTTCTCATGAAAATGGATTTCTTCTCTCCCTATCGAATCGCTTTATTTTGTAAATTGTAATACGTTTTTAGAAAAAAAAGCTCAGAAACCTCAAAAGAAGCAGGTGAATGTCACGTAGATTTTCTCTACTAACAGCCAGCTAGATGGTGCTTAAGTGCTTACCTCGATAAGATCACTGAAAGGACACGAATAGCTCCTATAATAAACCAGTAAGTTGCTGACAAATAAATGAATACAGGAGCCAATATGCATCTTAATAAGCGCGCTTATGGGAGAGTTTCTGTCTTAAGGCAGTTATGCATTGATGAGTTCATCACATAAGAACTTCTTCATGAAGTTATCTTCAGGTTATGGCTAAGATTGTTAAGTAAAGAATACACGGCGTTTGGCTTTGATGAATCCCTTAGAGATGTACGATTATGTGACACCACTAAGCTACAAATATACCAGAAAAGTCTTACACCAATTTTCTGAACCAAGAGCGATGTGAGGCTTATCCCGGTGTGCAGGGTCTATCTAGTGCCATATTTGCCTTTTTCGGCTACATGGTCACCATAAATAAGTAATTGATCAAATCCAAAGAAAATGTAGAAGTGGTACTCTGAAGGTGTGACAATTTTGTCCATTTTATAGGATTCCCAGATATGTTACTCCATTTTTTGTAAGAGATTTCAAATTTATTTATATGATCTTATAAACTGATCTTCCTTAGCTGGTGGGAGGTTGGTATAGGTCTTCGTTGTCATTGTTGTTGTTTGTTGTTATCGTCGTTGTCGTTTTTCTCCCAGTCCCACCCGTAACATTACGACTCTGAGGAAGGCGAAATCGCCGAAACGTCAGCCATTGACCAGCAAGAACAACAGCAACAACGGCAACGACAACGAAAACCTATGCCAACCTCGTACCAGCTAAAGAAGATCAGTTTATAAGATCATATAGATAAATATATCAACTATCTATGCCGAAGTTTATAGAAAGTCGGCCTCTTGAGTTATTAAGAGATTTCAAATTGTTCGAGTAGGCGCTGTCCATTACTGAGAGCAAGCGACAGCTATGAAAAATAGTTATGGTGGATAAGAAGACGGATGAGCTTCATTAGCTCTAATTGGATTCTCATTGTCCATTATTAAACTTGTAAAAGATGTAGATTAGCACAAGATTCCACTTGAAAGAGTGGCATTTTCTCTACGATTTGCAGAGTTCTTATAATGTTCTATTCAGAGGCGATAATATCTAGGTGTTCCTTAAAAAAAAAGAAAAAAACAGGATTCAAAACTCTTATTAGCTCCTCTATTTTGCTGGTCGTTAAGTTTCTGATCCCTTATTGACATGCCCTCCCAACGGTTTACCGCCTTATCGTGACTGGGAGGTGTTCCTGGGTGTTGGACTGCGATGTACAGCGGGGATTCATCTCCTAGCAGGGAAGGTCTCGCAAGCTGAGAAGGAGCCCGTCATTTCCCTCAGGAAGCTTAGCTAAGTGTAAACCAATACCAGGATCCACCACCGTCCTGGTATCAAAGTCGCATGGTGGTAAATATCCCTCTAACCCACAAGGGCTGCGACTGCCCGTGGTGGTAAAGACCTGGGACAGGCTTTGGCTAGGCTGAGCTCAAGACTCCAGGGAAGGACAATGGCTTAACCAGCAAATCTCCGATAAGTGTTGATTATGCTGGGGCCCGCACAACCAGTGATGACGAGCCGTTTAAGTGTCAAATGTCAAGTATTGGCATGCAACCTACTTTCATCGCAGAATTCTTGCTTCCTTACAATTGCAATTTCTAACAGTTCTCTTTACCCCTCAACGCTTTCTCCTTTGAGAAGTTGAGAATACCTTATGAACTACTTTTTGCACACCTGTTTATTACTATAGTATTATTGGGACTTGAATTATTAGGAACATAAACGACAATTTCCACTTATTCCAGTGCTTAGTGGAGTCGAAGGTATGACATGTGGCAAATAGACTGGTCAAGATCGAACGCCTTCTTTATCCTCCCTTTTCCTTCTCGCTTAAAAGCAACATGTTCTGTGCTTTCTATGAAATTTGGTGATATTGGCATTTCCCATGAGATTACTAATATTTTTACGTTTTTACGAACATTTTAAGCTTCTCCGACGGTGGTCGCATCTCTAGCGCTAGCGGATGTGATGGCGGGGATGGCTATTTACTGTTGACGGAAAGATAGAAAGACCTTTTCGTTTACAATTTCTTTAAACATATATGAGTTTAATTAGATGTGGTTTTATGCAAATAAATGAAAAGGCGAAAGACTGAAGGATAGATGACTGTGAATGTTTTCGTTCTGAAAACGAATGCCTCTGATCGTTAGTGATAAGGTAAATCAATCTTCTCAATAAATAAGATCAATAGATAAGGGGTCCTGTATTTAATTCATAAAATATAGGTCGATCAATCTTTTCACTGGGTGTCAATCAAAACGCAAAGTAGAAATAGCTGGAATATGATACTGTTATGAGTTAGTCATACCTCTCCCAATATTACACGCCTACTAATATTTCCTGGGAAATATTCCGGAAAAAGTGGAAAGATAGAGTGCGTGGGAAAATTTAAGTTTTCACTAAAAAATTTACGGAAAAATTCATTAAGAAGACGACATCCACAGAATATTGGTATTTATTTTTCATAGCGTGTGGTCATAAAGGATGAAGGACAAAGCTCTTGGCGTTGATCAATCCCTGAGGAATGCACTATGTGACTTCATTAAGTATCTTTGGAGATGATTAAATGCATAGTTGGCCTTTGGGTCTACCGATGTACCAAACCAGTGCTGCTATCCTCCCAGACAAGTCTGGTACCAATTTGCTGGAAGGCTTGGTGGGCCATACGCGCGAGGATCGATTCCACGTGTGTGTCGCATTGGCGCTTCTAACCATTGCGCCCCATAGCGTATGGCCATACAAAAATGAACGAAAGAAAAACCTGAGAAAGGAACGAGCCTGCGAGTATTGCGAGAAGACTTCATAAACGAGGCGGAG